TACATGTTTAGTAACTTATCTTTTTACCCTGGTTGATACATTTTTATGCTGGCACGTATTTGTGACAGTCGGCGCGAAAGGGTTAATGTATGATTCTTGGCTTATTAAATTCGAATCATGAAGTTTTTACTCACCATTCTTTTCAAATAATTCAAATGCTTAAGTCATATGTCACTTAGTGTCAATTATGTTGACATCACACACAGACCAAGCCTTTTCAGAGTGCGGACGTGTCTCATCGATCTGCCCGCGGCGGATAGGGTAGCCCTTCCGGCCGCCCACAAACCTCATCTATTGATGTTGCATCTATGTTAGATAAACGGTATTTACTGCCTAGAAACTATGACACCATGCAGATTAGAGATCATCTACTATCGATTACATCTGATGTTGATGAAATTAACCGAGTGAACGATGCCTACGTAAAGATTTTCTTCGCAACGAATGATACCTACTATGGGTCTCGCCGGTGGAGCCTTTCAAGCCCTTAATGCCAAACCAAAGAAGCTCTCTTCCACTAAGACAATAGAGCCACCACCTGAGAGAGACTCACAAACTTCCACCACTACAGATGACCAGACAAAGGAGAAAGAGCCAGCTGCCGAGGCAGAAATATAACCCCCAGAGTCAATGGAATCTGAAACGACATCTGATCCAATAGAGTCAACAAAGCCAGAGCAGCCAGTTTCAACACCTTCAACTGAGATCGCTGCTAGTATTCCCACTGAACAACATGAAGAGCCTGAGCCATCAATTCAGGAAAAAGAACCACAGAAAGAGGACGATACCGAACCTCCAAAAAAGAAGAAGAAAAGGAAGAAGAAAAATCCTCCTTAAAAAACTGCAGAGAGCATGGACATTCCATCTGCTAATAACATCCCAGAACCTGTAGTCACACCTGCAGCCCATTCAGCAGAAGAGACCGCAGATCATAAACAGACTGAGAAACTGCAAAAGATCAGCAGAAAACTTAAATTTCTCATTAAAGGATTATCAGATGATTCCAAAACAGAGACTTTGGAGGAGGAACTCATAGCTATTGGTCGTGATCAACTGAAGAAGAGGTGGGGCAAAGGATACAAGCTCCTCCCCCTCTTTCTGATCATACTGCCAGATAGCCCAGAGAACAGGGATTTCTACAACATCAAAGAGATTCTCTCAACAAAAGTTCAAACAGAGCGATTCAGAGGAGGTCGCTTTGACATACAGTGCTATAGATGCCAAAAATGTGGACATACTCGAAAGAACTGTTCAGCCGATCCAGCCTGCATGAAGTGTGCTGGTGATCACTTCACATTCAAATGCACCAAACCAAGAAGCCTTTCTGCCGCTTGCATTAATTTCAATGGAGAGCATCCTGCCTGTTTTCAAGGCTGTGCTACGAGACCAAGAAGAAAGCCACTACAAAAGAAAAGGGAGCACGGAAGTGCTACCGTTACTGCAACCAGAATCTTGCACATCTTCCGAGAAATGCAGGAGCTTCTACAAAATGAGGAGCTAGTTCAGCTTCTCCGTTCTCTCCTGCCTGAAAACAAGCCATAGGGACTTTATCTCTCCAGATCAAGCCACCAACTACAGCCATGCCACCATCACCTTTTTCTATAGACATTATTCCAGGCGCCTACGGGCACTATCTCCGATGAAGAAGTGAAAGTGATAGGTACTTCATAAACAACTTCAGTCTAAGTCTAAGTTAATTATGCTTTCTCAATCTGGAAAATGGCCAAGAAACTCCACAAATAGACCAACCAATAAATGAACCATCTGGCACAGTGTACGCAATAGAAGAAAAAAATTAAATATTTTCCGACTCTCTGATCATTAAAGATCATTCTCACCAAATCCTAACCCCGACCAAAATCATCATAATTTCATTACTGACTAAGTCAATACTTTCCATCACGAACATCCTACCCTAGAAGCAATAGATCCAACAAATAATGAAGAAATCAACATTATCCAAAAAATAATAAATCACCAGGCGAAGATGGAATAAAAAAATGATAAAACTACTACCAAGCAATTATATCTATGGAATCACTCATATTTTCAATACCTGCCTTGCTCTCAACTATGACCCTCGTAACTGGAAACACGCATAAGTCATTCTATTTCTAATGAAAAACAAGAACCTAAGCTACCCTGAGAGTTATTGACCAATTAGTCTCTTAAATATGTTTGGAAAAATCTATGAAAAAATCATTTACAATAGAATAAAACCAGTTCTTACAACCCTCCCCGACGAGCAGTTGGGATTCAGTCAAAAAATGGACACTACTAAACAACTACTCGGAATAATAGACTATACCGGCAGATCACTTATAAACAAAGAATTAATAGTATTCATGATCCAAAGCCTCTGATTGTGCGACAACCCTACATTCAATCAATCAAAAGTCTTTGACAAAATATAGCAAAACGGAACAATTTTTAAACTCAGGCGGCTAAACTTTCTTCCTGGGATAATCAAACTTCCATCCTGCTATCTCACAAACAGAACATTTCAAGTTACGATTAAAAACAGCAAATTTACAAAACGCAATATCACAGCAGCGGTATCTCAGGTCAGCATTTTTGGGCCAATACTATACATCTTATACACATATGATTTTTCAATAAATAAAACCGCATTACAGCTTTCTACGTAGATGACACCGGATTCCTCATAAAATCCAGAAATCAAAACCTTACCCTTCAAAAATTACGGGAACAAATATATGGAATAGAGGATTAGTGCCTTAAGTGAAAAACAGCAGTTAACGCCGGAAAATCACAACCTCTAATAGTAAAAATAGAAGATTTAAAATATTTCCACATTGCCAACCAAAAATGCTTAATATTCAAATACCAATAGTTAAAAAAGCAAATTACCATGGCCTAATCATAGACAGCTAACTTATTTGGAATGATCACGTCAAAAGCATTATAGACAAAGCAAACGCAGCATTAATAGTCATACAACTAAACAACAATTATCCGCCCGATACTTTCCTATGCCTCACCTCCCTGGTCAACAATACCACAGTATCTCATGAAAAAACTAAATCAATGTCAGATCAAGATCCAAAGAAAAATCACCTGTGCCAGATGGTTCACCCGAAATACAATAAAGATCTAAAAATCTCAACTCTATCGCAGCACATGTATAAACTTAATGCAGTATTTTTCGACAAAGCCACGAAATGCAGTACAGTCAATTTTAACGAAATGTAGACCAATAGCTGCATATTTCACCTCTGACGTCTCATATCACAACTATGTTGTTGTTGTTGTTAATTTACGTCGCACTAGAGCTGCACAGTGGGCTATTAACGACGGTCTGGGAAACATCCCGGAGGATGATCCGAAGACATGTCATCACAATTTTGATCCTCTGCGGAGGGGATGGCACCCCCGCTTCGGTAGCCCGACGACCTGCGCGCGAAGTCGAGCACTTTACGGTAGCACAGTTCAACGAGGACCAACACCGCACACCCTCGGTCCCTACGCAGACTGATTCAAGTGGTCACCCACCCGCACACTGACCGCAGCCAGTGATGCTTGACTTCGGTGATCTGCTGGGAACCGTGTCTTATCGATCAGTCCACTGCGGGACATATCACAACTATCAAAACAAATAACGTTCGCAATTTTAAATCTTATCTGAAAATTAAATATTTAAGGCGTTTCATCATGCTGACAAATTTTTACTCACCTACAACAACTAAAATTTAGAAGCAAACATAGTTTAGAGCAAGCTGCTTTTATTATTTTCATTTATCTTTAGTTACTCAAGCTAAGTGCTTGAAGTGAGTATAAAGAAACTCCACTGCCTGCGAACCACTAACTCAATACAAACGGAATCCAAATTCATGAGAAATGGGATTGGTGCCCAGATCGCATTACTAGGACTAATAATAACAAACTACTAACTATAACAAACTAATAATAACGCACTACTAGGACTAATATAAAAAGTAACTAAATCATCCCGAATTTTGAGAGTTTTAGTTTGTAATACCGTTTTTGTTTTAGAAATATTGCTGAATACCGGGCAGTTGGCATCTCTGTATTTTGACAGTTTATGAAATCTGTATAATAGTGAACTGTAACGGTAACGAAACATGGCTTTTTTAATGAAACATGCCTTGTTTTCTCAACAAAGTTGGATTTCAATCCTAAAAGGGCATGCAAAGTTATAATTGCAGTTATAGCTTTCCTCTTGCTATTCAGAATATTGCCTATTTAAAATTATTTCAAAGCATCACATTTTGTTTCGTAACTTCAGAAGTTTTCGATAAATTCTAAAAATTATTTAAATTATAGTTATTAGCTTTAAACTCAAAATCAATTTTATGATAATATAGGAATCAAGGGAGAATAAATAAATTTCTTTTATTTCTTATTAAATAATAAAAATGAAAATAAATAAACGAATAAAATTAAATGCAAAAATTGAAATTGCTTTACATGTGTATAATTAACTTTTGTAACATGTAATTTGTTTTAAAATATGATTTATATGATCTCTCAGAGTTGATGTTTGTTACAGTGAACATTAGTACCATTTGTGCCATCGAAACGACCAAACATGTGACCGCCGTACAATTCAATTGTACGGCGGACACGTCCCACAGTGAACTGATCCCAGCAGATCACCGAAGTCACGCATCACTGGCTGTGGTCAGTGTGCGGGTGGGTGACCACTTGGATCAGTCTGCGTAGGGACCGAGGGTGTGCGGTATTAGTCCTCGTTAAACTGTGCTGCCGTAAAGTGCTCGACTCCGTGCGCAGGTCGTCGGGCTACCGAAGCGTGGGTGCCATTCCCTCCGCAGAGGATCAAAATTGTGATGGCATGTCTTCGGATCATACTCCGGGATGTTTCCCAGACCGTCGCCAATAGCCCATTGTGCAGCTCTAGTGCGACGTAAATTAACAACAACAACAATGTACGGCAGTCACATGTTTCTTGAATTGCTCTAAACTGCCGTACAATTCAAGAAACAACGGAAGTGCTTCACGATTGATTCTGAGAAAAGTGGCTTAACAACTTTCCTTCCATTGTTAACGCTACGAACGCTAAAATAAAATTTCAAAGCACTGAAGTCCCGCAGTGGACTGATCGTTAAGACACGGTTCCCAGCAGATCACCGAAGTCAAGCATCACTGGCTACGGTCAGTGTGTGGGTAGGTGACCACTTGGATCAGTCTGCGTAGGGACCGAGGGTGTGCGGTATTGGTCCTCGTTAAACTGTGCTACCGTAAAGTGCTCGACTTCGCGCGCAGGTCGTCGGGCTACCGAAGCAGGGGTGCCATCCCCTCCGCAGAGGATCAAAATTGTGATGGCATGTCTTCGGATCATCCTCCGGGATGTTTCCCAGACCGTCGCCAATAGCCCATTGTGCAGCTCTAGTGCGACGTAAATTAACAACAACAACAACAACAACAGCAGCTCTAGTGCGACGTAAATTAACAACAACAACAACAACATCAAAAGTACTGAAAAAAAAAAATTATTTTTGAAAAAAATTCTTTTTCAATACGTAACGTTGCATACAAAGATGCCAATTATATAAAAATCCCACATTTGAATTTTTTCGTCACTTGCGTTGATTTTTCTATTGCACAGCAGACAATCGGTGGTCAGGCTTTATATAATTTTATAACCGGTGTAGGACAGCCAATCCAATTCTGAGTTTACAACTATCAATGTTCAACTCTGTAGCCTTGTAATTTAGAACCATATCCAGAAGACAAGAGAACTCTTGGATTAATCATTTTGGCAAACAAGCCTTCGTGGAAGACTTTCGATGGAACTAACCCGCATTTGTCTTACATGAAGAGGAAAAACACGAAACCTTTTCACAATTAGCCTGACGGTAAGGGGACTCTAACCCATGATTCTTCTACCGCTGAGTATGCTTCACGTCAGCACTGTGGTCAGTGCGTGTCGGGAGCAGAATTCATATAGCCCAACTATTGCTGGGAATTTGATCATCTCATTGGGAAACGAACTCTCTATTCCTTGAGCCACCTCGGATCCATGGCGAGTCAAATTAAACTAAATTAAAAAAAAAAATGGAAACCGTACTTAATAAGTTGAAGGAAAGAACAGTAAATCGAATTTATTTTGAAATTATTGCAGAATGCCTTCATCCAGTAGTGGGTATGTAAAAATAAACTGCTCAAAACAATTAAAGGATATAGTAAATCTTGTATTAAATAACGTTATAAGCAATTTTTTTTGTTGCAAATTTTTCTTATTTTCAAACTTTGCAATATACAAATTTTGAGTTTAACGTCGTAGACGACACTTCAGCAGCAGCTAATTTAATTTGGCTTTCAACTTAATGTAAGACAAAGCAGAAAAGAATGATCGGCATTCAGTAAGCGCGTTGTTTCGATAAGTGCGGTGTCTCAACGATTTAACCGAATCAGACGCTTGGGGAGTTGTTGGCCGACTAGAGGGGAGCCAAACACAAGCCGAACTATCAGAAGTCATTGGAGTTTCACGATGTGTGATTTCCGGGATTTGGAACCGCGTTTTTTGGAGACTGGAAATGCCGGCCGAAGATCAGGACAAGGGCGCAACCAACGTCCAATGAAGACCATAATTTAACGCTAACATCTAGGAGACACCGAAATATGAATGCCACTCTTCTACCACAACACCTTCACTGGGCTACTGGCACCACAGTTTTGATACAAACTGTTCGGCACCACATTCAAGCTGTAGGTCTGTATGCTCGCCGACCAATGGTGTGTGTGACACGTTAACAGCAAGGAGTGGACAGTCGAGTATGCGAACTTGAGGAGAAATGAATGGCACAATATTCTTTTCTCTGGCGAGTCTCGCTTTTCTGTTCATCCTGATAATAGGCGTATTTTCATCTGGAGGGAACGTGGCACCAGAAACAATCCTGTGTTCGTGCATGGAATTGTAAGATTTGACTTTGGGGAAGGGATGGTTTATGCTGGAATCTCCATAGATGGGCGCGCCGATCTCGTATCATTCGAAATGGAGCTCTGACTGGTCGCCGATCTAGGGATGAGATCCTGAGATCTTACGCTGCAGCAATTGGAAATGACTTCATGTGAAGGGACAGCAATTGCAGGCCATATCATGCTAACTTTTGAATAATTTTCTTTCGGAGGAAGGAATCATTTGAATGGATTGGCCAGCGTGTTCTCCGGACATGAACCCGTTAGAGTATGTTTGGGACATTCTAGACAGACGAATTGTCGGACGCCTACCACCCCCACAAACTCTCCAAGAATTGAAAAGAGCTCTTCTGGGGGAGTGGGGCATAATACCCAGCCCCTCAATAATAACCTTGACTCGATGCCTCAAAGATGTTCAACGTTACTGGCCGCCTGAGGAAACTCTACCCCTTACTAAAAACGATTTTCTTTTAAGGTGAGAACGCATCGTTTTGGAGCTTTTCATTCATTTATTTTAAAAGTTCATTTTCATTCATTTTCATGAGAAAAAAACAACTTTTTATTGACTTGAAATTTTGAATCAGGAGTTTTTCAAGCTGTTCCATAAGCATTTTACCGTTATTGCTTGGATTTCAGAATTAGAACTTAGGCCACAGTGTGGAAAATATATGTCACCAATAGTTTGGTTTGATCAAAGGTCAGAAGTTAAGCTCAGACAATGTTAATTTTAATTACTGCTTTCTTTTTACAATATCAAAACTTATTTTTTACTTCTTTTCATTGTGTGTGTGGGAGGGGGGGGGAGAGACTTGTTATGTTCGTCCAAAAATGCTTATTGAACCACATTTACATTTTAAAATTATAATTTTTAGCTTTATTTCTGTGGGGCAAGATTTTAAAAAATAAATAAATTTATAGTAAAAATCAATTTTTGTAAATTATGCACTAAAAAAACAAAAACAAAAATTACGTACAGTGCGCCAAATAATAAAAAAAAAAAGTTGAATTGAAAAAGGTTATCAAATTTTAAGAAAATCGTGCATTTTTTTTTAAAATTTGTTTTCTCTCAGTAACTATTGAACCAATTTTCGTTCATATTTTTTACTTTGCCATTAAAAATCACTCTCGTTAATATAAACATTTATATACTTTACAAATCAATATTTTATCGACTACTATTAAATAATAAAAAATAGGCAATTAATAATGTTCGTTCGAATGGAATTATCTTTGGATAAACGAATTTTATAATTGAATCTAAGAGTTTTTCGATTCGCCCAAAAAGTGCTTGAGATATAGAGTAAAGTAAAATTAACGTTAAGAATTCAAATTTTTAACCTCTCTTCCCGAACATACTACTATTGAGACCATATTTTTCAGAATTGCGGTATCTTCCATATTTTTGAGTCACGGTAGCTCAGGGGATAGATCGCTTGAACCTTCGAGTGAAAAGACCCAAGTTCGAATCCCAGTGATAGTTTGTCGATATGAATTCTGTACCCAGCTCGTGCTAACTACACTTCCGAAGTAAAATATCCTCCGTGGTAGATGGATTACGGATTAGAGTCTCCTTGCCATTGGGCTAACCATGGAAGGTTTCCGTGGTTCTCCTGTCCATGAATGCAAGCGCGCGGTATTTCCATCAAGTAATCCTCCATGGAGGATAGTGTCTCCCAATGTCTTGCAGGAGTTCTGTATCTAAGAGTTCCCTAGTCTTCAGGGTTGGGTTCAAAACTACGAAGCTACAGAATTGAGCTTTGATTGTCGTAAACTCAGAGAAAATGGTCAGTATATACATATATATTTATATAAAAAATTATCTGTCATATTTTGAGACTCTAATTAATTAGCATATTTAATGTTAAACATTTAAACCATTTAGATTAGAAAAATTCTTGTCAAAATTTTAGTACGTCAAAAATTATTTTGCACACTGTGCATGCACTAAAACAAAAATATATTTTTTTTACTTCGTGAATCATTAGAAGTTTCGTAAAAGTTCAAACATTTTTCTTGTATTTCCAATTAATACAAAAGCAAAATTTAAATACAAATTCCTAAGAATCCCATCACCTTAAAAGTGATTATTGCCATCCAAAATTAGACTTTTAAATTCGTTCTCACACCCTCGTTCTATTTTTAGACGCATCTTTTTGCAGTATGTGCGCGAGGGCAATTTCAAAACTAAAACTCGAAAAATGAAGGGGAAAAAAAGTGAAGAAAAAAAAGAAAAGGAGCGATCGTCCGAGTCTGCCACAGGTCACGTGGTTCCTCTACCGCAGTGAACGAATAGAGCCGGCGCTGACACCCGCGCATGCGCCGTAGCCTTTCCTCCTCATCCTAGCCGGCGAACCGAATAGTCCCGAAATCCCTCATTCTCTGTGACTGTAGGAAAGTGAACTGTTCAAAGTTAATTTTCGTCTGCATCTATTGTGGAGCAGCATCTAAGTGGAAAGTCTTCTTGCAAATCGTCTGATTTAATAATTTTTATTGCGATATTCATTTGTTAAATAAAGTGCTGAAAAAACCCGTCGGTTAGTGGACTATAAGCGGTGTTTTTTTGTAAAATGGAAGGCGGTAGTGCGCCTTTTTCCAGTGATATGGCTCCTACTAGTTCTTATATTCTTGTAATAGTGAGTCAACCTGTGTCAGAAGCCGACAAGGACAATATATTGGACCGACTAAATAGAGGTCAGTGTTTTTTAAAACATTTTTTTACATTCATTTAACGACAAATTTAAATTTTAGAAATCTGCCTTATTTGAAAAAACGAGTTGTTTAAATTGTTAATTGAAATTTTAGAAATGTGCGTTTTTCCTCTTATGTTTTTAAATTTCTTTTAACCAATTTGTAAGTATGTTTGTGTTCTAAAAACGTATCTTTTAAAGGAGTGCACGCAATCTTTTTATTATAGAAAAAGAGCAGGATTTTTTTTTTTTTCAATATCGTTTTGAGGGTCTCATTAAATTCAGTTTTTATATGATAATAAATTATTCAGTTTTTATATTATAATAATTTATATCATATATTATTATATATGATATAAATTATAGTTCTTATTAGTGTAATAAGAACAGTATCACTTGTCTCAAAAGTTGAAAGACAGAGCACAAAAAAAAATATGAATTTAGAAATGCATGTGCAAAACTTTTGAAGTTTTTAATACTTTAAGACAATACTTTTTTATAAAAATAAATTTTAGAAGGTTTAAACCCTTTTGAGCCATTTTATTTCTGTTCAATAGGAAAATAAGAGTTCGACTAGAGCAGACATACAAGTAAATTTTTTCGTTGAAACATTTTTTTTTAACAGTGCATGAATATACAGTTTTTAAATAAGATTAAGTACATGCTTTAGTTTAAAAAAGATTTTTTTGAAAGAGAAATCGAGGTAGAAGAGGAGGGAGAAAAGATTTTAATCTACTTTTTTTTTCCGTAACAAAAAGGAGTTGTCATTTTGCGGTTGAAGAGAGTTTTTATCCATTATCATCAACCGCAAGTTATTTTTAGCAGTTTCTTCAAAACCTGCAATATTTCTTGAAAGAATTTTAACTGATATTACTTTTATGTTATTGCAAGTACGAGACTGCCAAATCCATGCGATCTCTGGAAGTCTTAGAAAGTGAAATGAGCATTCAGAGATTTTTTGCATCTTCCAAGTCAAGGTCAAACTTCCAATATATCTTGATCTTTCTATCTCAGACGGAAGATGAATTTGTGACACTAAATTCGCTATCTGGCTTTTCATGAGCATTGATTATATTAACTTTGTATTTATTGGTTATTTAGTTTGCTACTATATTTGGTATTAGTAATTTTAATTAAATCCCGAAATCTATTCTAGATAAAATCATTTCCAGATTTATTTATAAGGTAATGTACATTCTGAGCCTTACAGTGCAGTTTTGCTCTATTTTTGATTTAATTATGGATTTTAAGATTATTGCTCTTACTTAATAGATGAATTTCTTTTGTGCTCCGCGTGCCGTTAATTTTAACAGAAAGTAAAGTTTTTTTTTATTGTTAATCGAAAGAATATTTATTAAATATACTTTTTATGTTAATTTATTATCTAACAGTAGTTTAACTTAGGGAAAAGAACTTTCAATATATTTTATTAATTGATGTGGCATTATATAATACCTTTTATTGATGCGAAAGTTTTCTTATGTATAGATACTCACTCACTGTTAGTGAATATTTCAATTTGGACATTGTTCAAAATGCGTGTTTGGAAAAAAATGGACATTGTTCAAAATGCGTGTTTGGAAAAATGGACATTGTTCAAAATGCGTGTTTGGAAAATTGCAGTCTGATAAAAATGAATAGAATTATGCTTTTAATAATGTAATGTTACAGTGCAGCATTAAAAAGTTATTTATATCTTGAATTTCATTATTAAAATTAAATCTGATTTCTTGAATGTTAAACCTAAATTTAAATTACATTGTGTAGCATGTTTTACAGTGTGAAAATATATTCTTATTTCTTTTAACAAATTCCCATATTGCGTTGCATTCAAAATTTTATTGTTGGATATTTGTAGTTTGATAAAAGTGAATCAAGCTATGCGTGCAATAATCTAATAATGAACTATCAGTTATCATATGTATAATGCGTTATTAAAAAGATTTTTAAATCTTGAATTTCACTATTGAAATTAAATCTGATTTCTTAAACTGAATCTAGTTTATATTACATTTTCTGGCTCCTTTTACTGTGTGAACAATTTTTAATGTCTTTTAACAAATTCCTATATTTCGTTGCATACAAAATCAGAAATTGCAGTTTGATAAAATTTGAAATAAATTATACGTGTAATAATGAAAAAATGAGATCTCGCCTCATATGTTAAAGTGTGGCATTTTTTTTTTAAGTCTTTAATTTCATTATTAAAATAAATCAGATTTCTTGAAAGTTAAACCTAAATTTAAATTACATAATCTACCATGTTTTGCAGTGTGAAAACAAAATTTTATTTCTTTTAACAATTTTTCATGTTGCGTACTAAGTTTTATTTTGCAGTTTAATAAAAATGAATTAAGTTATACGAGGATAATAGGAAAATGAGCTACCAGTTCTCATATTGTGGTGTGGCATTAAAAATGTGATTACTTAATAGCTGAATCTAATTTAAATTGAATCGTCTTTACAGTAGGAAATCATTTTTTAAATTTCTTTTAACTAATTCCCGGTGTTACGTTGCATACAAAATCTAAAATTACAGTTTGATAAAATTTGAAATAAATTATGCGTGTAATAATGGAACAATGAGATCCCAATTCTCATGTTGTAGTGCGGCATTTTTTAAGACTTTAATTTCATTATTAAAATTAAATCTGATTTTCTTGAAAGTTAAACCTAATTTAAATCACACTGACTTGCACGTGTGAATTTTTTTTTTCTTTTAACAAATGTCCGTATTACGTTGCATATAAAATCTGAAATTGCAGTGAGATAAAATTTGAAATTATGTGAGCAATATTGGAACAATGAAATCTTAGCTCTCACACTTTTGTGTTGGATTAAAATTTTCTTTAAATTTCATATTTCACTATTGAAATTAAATTTAATCACTTGACAGCTGAATTATAACTAATTTATATTGCCTCTTACGCTTGATAGTGTGAACATCATTTTTTTAAAAACTAATTCTTATAGTCCATTAAATAATGTCAACCTTCAACTATTGAAAGAATCGATTCGCATGTTTTATATATTAGAGAATAAATGTTTAATAATTGTAGTGGTAGTTACGCCATAGTACGTTAAGAAATTCTGAAATTGCAGTTAGATGTGAAAACGAAACAAATCATAATGAGATTTTGGCTCTCTCATACGTTTCGGTGCCGCGTTTAAAAGTACTTTAAATTGCGAATTTCATTGTTAAAATTAAATTCAATTATTCGAAAGCTGAAACTTAAATAAATTTTAGTTTATACTCGGAAGATTATTGCATGCCAATTATGTAAAGTGGAAAAAGATAATCCTTTGAAAGATAACAAGTTTTTCTTTCAAATACATATTAACACTTGGAAGCTTTTCTTCGTCTAGTTCATGAATTATTCAGAATTTGAATTTAACACCTTGAACAAACTTGTATCTTTTTTCAACTCGTTAGAAATTCAGCGAAACACAATGAGTTTTCATTCTATGTAAATTATTAACTGAAAAGTTTTAACAATTTCACGCTCAGAAGAAAACTAGTTATTTGCATAACAATAGTTATTTAGTTTAAAGATTTTTTTTTTTGCAAGGCTTATTATGCCATCAGTTTTCTATTTACTATGCTAAATTAAAATTTAATAGTTTTGATAATTTTTTTATTTTGGACTGCTATGTCAATTATTTACAAAAAAGTTATGAAAAAATATGTAAGTTTAATAGTTTATTTTCTTGAAACTTTTGAGTCAGAGGGAGTACATCATTAGAGCTTCATATATTTTGCATAATTTGAATGTCTTCCAATAGATAAGTTTAAACTAACAGATGCTTTTAGAAGTTCTTTCGTAATGAAAAAAACCCCCGTAGATTCAGCATCTGAAACGCGAATCAAATCTGTAATTTTATATAATATGTATTATCTTGATGCCGTTGGAGTTATCTAAACTTTTTAAAGAGGTAAAAAAACACTTAATTATTTAAAAAGTTATAAAAAAAAACGCTAATTCGGCGAGGATTTTCTGCATAGATTTACTTAAATTGACTAATTTTCTACTTTTACAATTTTATGAGTTCAAGCAATACGGAGTAGGAAAAACTTTTCAAATATTGAAAATCAAAACTCTTAATCTTATAGGCATTTTGCGCTATTTTTCATTCAGATAAACTAAACTCTAAAAGTTTTATTTCAACGGACGTCAGAGCTTTCGAGGAACGGCCCTAACTAAGATATGTAAGATAAATTTTTTTTTATCAAGAAATTGCCGTGTAAGTGTTTTTTTTTCTTTCTAAGAAATAAGAATTTTGAACGACGTGTAATAAGTATTTTTACGAAGTTATTTTTAAATCGTTAAAATATTGTAAAATGCAAGCTAACACGCAAAGCTACACTAAATTTGTTCTAAATCAAGAATATTTATGTAATTAGCATATCATTTTAGACCATATTCCCTCAGTTAAAAATTATTTGTATTCACCACAAGTCTATTACACAATTATTTTACTGTAATTTTAGAAACACAATGCAAGTAATTAAGAAGTGATTTTCGATTGCCTCTAACTAACCAAATATAAACGAATCGCAGTGCTTAGTATTAACTAAACGGAACCAATAATTAAGATATGTCATAAACAATTATGTGATTATCAAAAAATTAAAAGAAAATTAAACAGGGTGTTTTGTAATCGCCGCTTTTTATTTATATTTTTGAATTTCATTTTAAAGATGAAATAAAAAAATATATATAATCGTATCACTATTTTAGCGAGGTATAAAAAGATTTATCAGTGTCACAAATTACCATGAAGAAATTGAAACAAATTTGATTGCAAAAATACTAGACGTTTCTAATAATCCTTTTTCAATTATTTTAATTTGTCAAACATGTTGATTATTTGATGGCAATCAAACAAGTTCTGGTGAGTTTGATTTCGTAGATGTTAAATTAGTTTAAGGCGTTACTCACCCCATTGGTTGAAGAGCTAGAGGTAGTGAGTTCGATCCTGGCAGTCGACAGAACGATCGGCGTG